TTTTTTTTTTTTTTTTTTTTTTTTTTTACAAAATAAAACCTATTATCTTTATTTTAATATCTGAATTTATTTTCGTACAATAGCTTTTCGCAGTTTACATAGAAGCGAATATAAATCCAGGATGGTGATTAGAAAGTTTTCAGCAGTGTACTCCGCGTGCGATGAACGCGAGTGTCCCATGAAACCAACTACAAATTGCCGTTGGCAATTTCTATTCTGGATTACATTACCATTCGCACCGTGAACGTGACTTCGCCGTGTCCCGCGCTCGGCGATTGCTAAACCTCCTCTCCCTCTCCCGGATGATATATTTCCTTCGCACGACGAGAGGCAGCGAAAATCTCTCCGTACAGTAAAAACGGCATGTACAATATATTCGAGCGGTGCGAACGAGAGAAGCGGCGTGTAAAAAGCGCGCGTGAGAAGTTAATCGGCGCGGGTTGAGAGTTCAACGGGAGAGAAAGTCCAACGAACCAATGGCGAGCGGCATTTGATTGGCTCTGAATGGCGTGTCGCTTTTATTACGTGCAATCGGTCATAATCCGTCTCTCCGTTTCTCCCGCTCGCCGGGCTCGCTCGCAGTCGTCCTACATCACGCCACGACCCGCATACCCGGTGGCATGCTCAAGTATAATATCGAAGCGTCGTCGTGCGTTTACTACTTGCGCGGCTACTTGAAGCACCGGGATAACGAGAGGCAGACAAGTGAAATTGTGTGTCCCTGTCGTTCGCCAAACGGCCAGGATTGCCATTCGATGTACGCGCACGAGTCCGCCGGCGGGAGGGGGATACGGGATGGAATATTTATAATAGTGTCGCAAGAAGACGTAACGTGTTTCGCATGTGGGAGTTGCGTGGGATTGTAATTCATTCGCGCGCGCCGATGACAAGGAATGTAAACAATTTCTATTATGCTCGAGTGCAAAGCTCCGTGCGTGTGCCACTATTTTTTTTTTTCTCTCTCTCTCTCTCTCTCCGTCTCTACTTAGATAAGCGGCTGTATAAGCGGCTTATAGATAAGCGGCGTGTGATGCAACGCGATTTGGTATCCGCGCGCGATTAGATGTACGTGGCGTGATGTTGGCGCACACGTTACGTTTGCCGAGCACTTTTAACGAGGACTTCGCCGGCTTTTGTGTCACGTCGCCCTCGTTACATCTTCTTTTTGTAAGGACGCGACGTGTCGCGCATAAAACGCTCGCCGCGAAGCGATGACGCGAGCATCGAGGTAAACAGAATGTGGGTTGACATTTACTTCGCGTCTCTCGATTAGCATAGTAAACCTTCTCGCAAGGCCTATAATTAGATTCGCGACTTCGCGAAGCGCTCCAGCACTCGACCTCGTGAAATTCTACTGTCCTGCAAGGACGCGATGTCTTTTCTTCCTATGAAAGAGTGCTCGTTGCGGCCTTGATCTCTTCTCAATTTGATTAAAAAAAAGAAAACCTAAAAATACCTACCCTGCTGAAGGAAAACTAATTAATTACCATTTTGCAATGTTTTTATCAAGATATAGACCAGTGCACTGGAAAAAATATTATTCTCAACAAGCATTTATTAAATGTAAACTTATATTCATTTGATGTAAGATCGTTAATTGAACTATCTTTTTTTATTGAATAAACATTTGTTTACTGTAATTGCTTGGTACTATTAAAAAAAATATCTATTAACATTTAGTAATTTTTTTGTAGTAAAAACTGTAAGCGTTTGTAAATTAACATGGGAATCTTTCGAGTTGGAAAATTTTTTTTAAGGATTGAACGGCTTTCTTATTTATTTAGTAATCAAAAAGACAGAATAATAAGTTTCTTCAATCCTTTTATGAATAAATTTTTAAGAATCTTGCCGGATGTACTTTAATTGCAAGTGAATTTGTGCGTTTGAAATAATCTTTAACTTTATTTACAATCGGAAAAGTAAAGCTGATAAGTTTAGCAAATTATCAACTCTCTTGGAGAGAAATTGCAACGCGAATTCGGAAGGTATTGCCTGCAACTCGGTGACTGACATTATTTACCGAGATTTCGAATCTCGGGGAAAACAGGAAAACAATATTTACCGTCCTCTTTTGCTTCGTTACTTGCCGGTTACTTGATTACATTAATTTACAACCTTGCAGTCGTTCCAGAAACGAGTTCCTCGCGGAGTTAAATCGACGAACGTTGGCAACGAGCGGAAGCTGTTTGTTTGATCCTCCCGGGGAAATTACTTAGTTACACGTCGAAGTTCGTCCGGTAACTTCGCGACGAGTTATTTTCGAGGCCTGTTACGGCGCCATGCCGATGGCGTTAACGAAGTCAGTCGATCCAGATTCCAGACTGCTATCTCGCACGACGTTAATTACACGAATCTCGCGCCTTTCTTTCTTGCTGATAGTACCGGACGTCGCTCCAATTCACTTTTCTCGGACTTCGCTTCTCGTAAACGCCTCTGGTGTTTTCCACACAAACCTCTCACGTAATTCCGATACCTGTGTCACGAACTCAGCAATCAAATTTCGCAAATGAATTAATTCCATGCTCGCCATCGTAGAATCGCGTTTGCATATCGAGTTTCTAAGAATAACAGAATTGCATTTTTTTATTGTTAATCGAACAACTTTTATATGCGTGTAAGTATATATACTATATGTACAAAGTGAGGCATTTGAAGTGTTACAAACAGTTATGTAACTTATACGTATATCTTGTTTGAAAAGCAACTGTGTGTTTTCTTTAAACTGTTTTCTTCAAATTGATTCATTTTATTATTCTGCACATAAAAATATTAAGGTTATGTTTGTAAAAAAATTACCAGTTTACAAAATATTTTATACTTTATGTTAAAATCTGCCAGAATAAAATATTGTATATCTCGTAAAGTATTAATTTTTTAGTATTTCTACCTTAATACATTTGTATACAAAATAATTAAAGGAATCATATTAAAAATAATATCATTACAGTTGAAAAAGTGGAGGGGCGACCTCTGTGTGACTTAAAAAAAATCGAATTTTTTTTTTTAAAGATATTTATTATTTATTCCTCTTGAATTTATATCACTTTATCTGAACATATTTTTGATTCGCGACGCATATTTTTGAAGATAATATCTTGTAACATTTTAAATGCCCCATTTTGTGCATTTACATATGTATGTATATAAAAGATGTCGCGACACTATTTTAATGGCAGCATAAACTCTCGGTCTATGTTATCGTACACAATGTTAATATGATGCGAATCGAGGCAAGAAAAAAATTCACTCGCGTAAATCGAACGATGACACACGCGGAAAGTTCCCGGTAAGTTATAATTAAGCGCTTTACGTTTATCGCGTATCTTCACACGATTATGAGAATTCTTTCGCTGATGCTGAATTTGGAAGAATCACGTGGATGGCACATGTTTATCTCAGGGGAGATCGCGCGAGTGCGTGAGTTACTAATCGAATCGGCGATCGCATTGTCGGAACGACACTAAAATCGTATTCGTGACGGCTTTTTTTTTTTTACCGCGCCGCGTGTTTCTCGACGAACGTAATAGACAATAATTATTGCATATGCGCATGACACCGCTGCGCACCGTCTGTGTTTGCTCGTTATTTGCCCGACAATTGAATGACGCGCCGTCTGGACTGCGATATCTGCATAACAACAGAATATAGCGATAAACATTGACTTTGGAACGTGTATGGAGGACGTGCGAAATGCATAGTTGATAAATATGAAATTTATATTCAGAATTCTTTTTGCAAACATTGTGAATCACTGTATTTTAAGTTTTATTGAACATCGCCGCAGCCATGCTAATTCTACGCGTTCCACTTCAAAATAAATTATAGATCTAATAGCTTCGATATACACACGCAACACGCACACGTATATACGTATATGACAAACATAATCCACGCAAACATTACATTTTACCTCATATTTATGATACAGAAAGAAGTCACAGTTGTAAAAATCGTGATCCCTTAATCCGCGCTTTAAATTCTCTAATAACCGATATTATTAAATTTATGAAAAGTAAAAAAAAAAAAAGATTAATAAGAGCATCGTTGATAGTCGAAGAATAATATCATTTTTTTTTTATCAAGCTTTCTTGCGCAAAATGCCTTTCAAATTTTCGGAAAGTAATCTTGTAGACCCACTGTATCACTAAGATAAAATGCGAGATATGAAGAAACGCTCGTCACAAATCGTATCTCCGATGAATCGTTAAGCGATAAGCGACGAAAATGATTGGCAGTATTGATTGAAGTAGGTATCTTATGTCCCGCAGAGGAACATGCAGTCGGCCTCGATGGCTGGATGGAGCGCTTTCATGCAGGTACCGCCGCCGAGGACGCACGGGGCGTTGACGGCTCACCCACCCACCAGCCACCACGGTCATCCCAGCGGTCCACCGGGCGGATCCGCCACAGCCGCCGCCGCCGCCGCCGCCGCCGCCGCGCATCCCGCCGTGGCGCAGCAGCAGCAACGCGAGGAACGGGAGGCGCGGGAACGCGAGCGGGAGCGGGAGCGGGAGCGGGAGCGGGACTTTCGCGAGCGGGAGCAACGGGAACACCTGGCGGTGGCTGAAAGGCATCAACGGCAGGCCGAAGCCAGGGATCACGTCGCGCAGCAAAGGGCCGCCTACTACGCGGCGGCCGCCGCGGCACCGTCGGCTCAACAGGTACAACGCAATTCCGCGCGATTTCCGCGGCCTTTTAATGGGTGAGGGGAGGATTGGGTCGCAACACTCCTATATGTGAGAAATATTCGTTGGACCCACGCACAAAAGGAAGAATTTTGCTGAAGTACAAACATTTTTGCTAGATACATATAAATAATTTTGTTGTGAACCGTTAAAATAATTATGTAGGACGCTCAAAGTGGTTGTTAGAATGTCACAATTTTTTACAGAATTGCTCATCGCGTTCGAGTTTCCTACATAATTATTTTGATGCTTCGAAAATTATTTTCGGAACTGTATCTAGCTAAATTTTTACTTGAGTGAAATAATGTTTCTCGTGTGAGTTTTGTTAAATGCGAGAAATATAAGAAATTTCAGTTTTTGTATATTACGTAGCCTTAGTACGTTTATTAATTATTTTATTAGAAATCGAAAATTATGTTGAGCATTATGTAATCCGCAGCGATGGATCACTTTATAAACGTATCGTGATGTTTTAGGTTCGACCTTTGAACGTATCTGGAAAAGTAGAGTACCCGCCACCACCGGCGCACTCGCGGACATCAAAGTCGTCGCTGCAGGTTGTCGGCCTGCACGAGAAACCGTCGGTGGTTTCGCACAGCTCGTTACCGAAAGCCGAGCCAAACGTGAACTTGTTCAACTACTCGTCGACGTATCAGCCACAGCCATCTTGCACGTCATATCTGCATGATCTCAAGTTAAAGAACGAGATAGGACCGCACAAGTCGCTATCGAGCAAGAGCGGATTGGCTGGCGGCCTCGAGAGGGACCATCATGGCAGAGAGGTACTACAGAACCCGCCATCCTTACTGCCGGATTACAAAAGTTCGGTGATTGTGAAAAACGAGGGCAGGGAGCTACCGAAGACACCGGCACCGCAACAACACTCGTCCAGCCCGAAGATAATGCCTTACATGAACGTCCAATCGGTGGCGCCGCAGCACAAATCGTCAGCGTATGAATACAGAAGCCCGACGCAGAGCCCACATCACCTGCATCCCGCGCATCTGGACGGTCTGCAGGCGAAGAGCATCGCGACGTCCGCGAGTCACCATCGAGGTGGCGGTGGCGGTGGCGGCGGGGGCGGTGGCGGAGCGCCGACGACGACGACGCAACTGCCGAGTCCGCACGGTCATCCACCGCCACCACCGCCGGCGCAACCTGAGCCGCGCCTGCACTCGCACAATCCCCGTCAATCCCCGCATGCCCCACCACAGCATCCGCACCAGCCACCGGCACCGCCGCATCCATCGCCGCCTGAACCGCGCTATCTCAGCAGGCCGGAATCTGCGGGTCTACCGTACGGCGCGGCGAAATCTACGTATCCGTACCCGCATCCACATCCGCCCACGGCCTCGTCGACGACGTCGTCGCATTACGCCGCGCCGCCGCCGGCCGGCTCCAAGCCGAAAGTCAGCAGCCCGGCGCCGCCGCACATGTACGGCAAGCCTAACTGCGGTATTACTAATTGCGGCATTATAGCCGGCACGCCGGTCTGCCGTGCCTCCGAAACGCCTGTCGCCGCGCCGATACCGCTGACCTCGAAGGCCGGCAGCTCGCCTTACCAGCAAGTGCCTCATCATCACGGGGCGCCGCCGCCACCGTTGCCGCCACCTGCGCACAGCCGGTCCGTCTACGACAGTCGCTTCCCCGGTTCATTGCCGGGCGCGAAACTGCCGCCACCGACGTTGCATGGCTCGCCCCCCACGGCCGCCTCGGCGCCGCTCTCAAGGACGATCGCTCATTCGGCGCATCTCAATACCAGCCCGCACCAGCAACCCGGTCAAACGTTGCAGCACGCTCAGCCCCAGATCACCACGGCCTTCCAGACGCAACCGCTCGATCTCGGTGTCGAGAGGTCGGGCTCACCGAAGAGGAAAGCACCGACGCCATTGTTATGCGACAATACCAGCGGTCAGCCGGTGTCGTTGGAAGTTTGTAAGAAGCGAAGGACCGAGGAACCACAACCATTATCCTTGCAATCCGTTGGTCCGCCCGTTCTTTCCAGGGTGAGCGAGCCCAGCCCGCTTATCGCTTCAGCCGCTACGTCTATCACTACAGTTGTCAACACTGCAGCATTGCTGGCGCAGCCAAACAACCAGGTGACGCAAGAGCAGCGCACAGTGACAGCGGTGAGTCCGGCACCGGGTAACGCCAGCGGTGACGGTTCCGTACGACCCGCTAGCACCGGCAGCGTATGCTCGCTAAATCCAACGTCGGTGAGCGCGGCACCAAGTCCGGCGCCCATCCCCAGCCCGGCACCGTCCACAGCACCCAGCCCAGCGCCTAGTGCGCCCGGCACGCCCGCCAAGACAAACCCCAGCAACACGGACAGCGAGAAGTGTAACAGTCCGGCACCGAGACCTCCTAGCAGCACCAACTATCCAGTACATAAACTGAAAAAGGCGTGGTTGCAAAGACACTCGAGGTGCGAAGACGGCACCGAGAACACTATCAGTATGGCCGGCAGCATTACGTTACCTCTCAACATCTCTCGTGAGACAACGTCCTCGAATAGTAAGAACCGCGACAATGCGCCGACTACTTGTTTGCCTAGCGCGGTTAATTCGATCCACAATATCGGTAGCATGGCGGTAAACAGCATCAACAAGAGCAAAGTTACTGGCAGGAGCGGCCGAAAACCGGCGAACAAAGAGTCGCTGAACGGTCACGCCACTGATACCAGCAAGACCCCGCAGGAGGACTCGTCTAGCAGCGACCCGGAGAGAAAGTCGCCGCCTAAACGGAAGCCACCCAAGGTATCTATTTATACAGATCGCTTACAGTAGCTCCTGTTTATCGCTAGAAGTCATTATTTCAATTTGGAGTGCGTATGCTGTGCTGGTAGTTTAGTACTCGCTTGTGGCCAAAAACTTTATATATGTGCCCAATAACTTAACTTTTCCTCGTTGAATAATATATGACTTTATGATAAATTGTATAAAAATATATTATTTTGTAACAATATATACAATAATAATAAGAAGAATGAAGACTAATCATTAAATCCAGTAATTATTAAATCTTATTTTCAATTGAAATTCTTCATAGAAATATCTGCAGTATTATATGTATAATTATACATTTGTTGGTTGTGCAAAGTGTGAATTTAAAATTATGTTCTTTAATAATATATTATCTGACGACTCTTATAGCAAAATATTAATTATTGATTTATATTTTCTTGAAATTGTGTATAGACTGTTTTTTACATACAAACATTTTTTAATATTTTGATATCATATTTTTTTATCTTATAGTCAGTATTTATAAACGACTGCTTTCATAAATTATGAGCATTAAATTTAATAAAAACTTTAACATTAATCACATGCTTAATCATATATATAGTCATTTGATAAAGTTTGTTATTTTGTATCGGTATCGTAACTTTAGGTAATAAATTTCATTAAAAAACCTGTAGAAATTATAGAAGCATGAATATGCAGTAGTTTTGTTTGCTATGCCGTAGTTCTTAACTTGCAACTATCATAGAAGGAAAAACTCTTTATCGTCGAGAATATTTGCAGTTTAAAGAAAATGTTGATTTTGTGTTATGAGGAAAAAACCGAGCTCGAGTACTCGTACTTCTTTTCATATTAATGTTACATTTAAACTGGACATACTGAACACTTTTATTTTAAAGATAAAACATTATTATTTTAACATTATTATTATTATTATTATTATTATTATTAACTGATGTATTATTAATAGGAATATACTATAACAGAATTTTTTAATATTATTTATTATTAATTAATACATTTACGCGACTTTCGAAGGGAAAGGTTGTTTAAAATAAAATGGTACTATAGCCTTCCTCCGGAACGTCGCGTTATATATTAATTATTAATAAATTATATTAAAGATTGTAGTGTACATTCCCATTAGATTGTATATTAATTAATAAATTTAATTAAAAAAATTGAAACGCTGAAGAATCTTTCTTTAAAATTGTATATTCTATTTTGTATATCTATTTTGAATTGTATACTTAAATCGTACGCTTTTATTTCTGACGAAACAGTAATCCTGAATCTCTCTATTCTTGAAAAGAAACGTATATGGAAGTCTAGGAAAATACTACACAGTATACGTTACATATACTATAGTATTTTCCTAGAATTTTATATACGTTTCTTTTCAAAAGGGGTTCTGTCCTTTTTAGCTAAAGCTTCTTGCTCTATACACGTGCGTGGAGGTTTACGAGGCACTAAAAAAAGTACGCTCCAAAGTAAGACATAAAATTTAGAGGAGCTCAAAATTTTAATAGGCACCAACAATTTTTAGAATGTTCGTTCCGTGCACTGTAAACACTTTTACTAGCAGTAAATTGGTGAAACTTCCTTTTTTTTTTTGTCAATTTGTTCCGGTTGGCGAGAGGTTAGTATTTCATTGACCTGGCAATCCCTGGTCTGAGGCATAAAAGCAAATTCCAGCGTGTAGGACGTCTTGGGAAAGATGGTCGGAATGTTTTTTTTTTCTCTCTTTTTCTTTTTACGTTGGAAAGAAAAAGAAAACAGACCTATACAAGAAGATCAGACAAAAAGAGCAAAGTTAGGGTATTTCAAAATCGAAACTGACCTGTTCTTTGTTGCTGCACTGGCCTGGACTTCTTCTTTGCCTTTGCCAAATCAGTCTTGAGAGATCGGTCGAAGTGAGAGGATATCGGCTCCGAGTTTTGTGTCGTCCAGAATTTTCATTAGTACTCGCCGAATCGTGTTCGTTAAAAATCATGCATTGTATATATCGAGTTTTTTATTCCTACATCTCGAAGATTTTAATTACATTTTTCCGCTTTTCTGTATTGCCTTTCTTAAGGCAAAAATCACTTAATTTTTAAACAAGCTTTTGCCAAACGGAAATATAGAATTGTGGAAGTTTACTAGAACGCTTACAACATGGGGGGAAAGAGAGGATTCTGCTTAAGCTAAGACGAAAGAGAGAGAGAGATATGTATGAAATTAACAAAATTAAACGTAAAGGTGTATAAATATTTTAAATTTTAAACAATTAATTACTTAATTACGATTTTGTCGCTATTTGACAGTATATTGTCAAAGTTGATTATATTATGTCATTGCGTTTAAATATTTAAATAAAGCAGTCTTTTTAATATGAATTGATTCAATGTAGTTTGTAATAATCGAATTCACCATGAGCCTTGAATCATCGAGAACGTAGTACGTTTCGCGGGTTATCTCGGCGTCTATATATGAATTCGTAGAACGCCAACGTTTCGTGAATGTTGCAGTTGGCGTTCTGAGAATGGATATCACGGAGATAACTTGCGAAACGCATAGCTTCTAGAAAGTACCCGTGGAAGCTTAAAAAGTATTAATATAGTACGTTTTTTTAAGAAACGAAAGAAGAGCACAATTCCTTCCCACCAATGTATGCACAAAAAATACATACTGTACATAAATAATAATTACTTGTTTTAAATATTTTAAAAGTTTATAAATCCGCACATTATTTGTTGTATAAATTCGTTACAACAATCAAATTTATTCAAAAAATATTTCGAAAAAAATCCTAGTAAGTTTAATTCTTCAATCAAGATTCAAGATAATTAAATTAAAACAAATTTGATTAAGTTTTTTTATAAGATTATATTTAATCTCGATTCAATTTATTAAATCTTTTTAATGTCTAGAACTAAAAAAAGATTAGGTAATTGAATCAAAATTAAACTATTATAAAAACGGGCATTAAACTCTTTGTAAACAGCTCGCCTGTTTTTACAATGGTAAGCGTTCTAGTATATTCTCGAGTTCACTGGCCAAATATATGAATAATTCATTTTAAATATAATATCTTGGAGTTACAAAGAATACGAGTCTCTGCCTTTCTTAACGGACTTTTTTCCATTAGATCAATTCTACAATAGGGTCGTAAGCCATGTTAGAAATAGATCAGTCATAACCGTTTATTCTCCTCACATTCGAGCTGTGATTGGTCGACCCTATTGTAAAATCTGCTCCGTAAAGTGAGTTTAAATGCCGCGCAAAGGGCGCCATTTTCCTACGTAAGGCGTGTATGAATCATGGGTGATCACGGGTAATGGACGTTGCGCGAGTAACAAGTGTTTTGTCACGTACGCCTATAAACAATTGATTGACCAATCATCAGGCAGGATTTTTGCAACGTGCATCTGCATATCGATCGCGAGTGGCAGAATACTCGTCATGAACAAATATTGCAGAGGGGTAAATATCGCTGTACTGAAAATTTTTGCCGCGATCGTGACCTAACCTCTATTCGCGTAAAGTGATGAGGACGCTGGCACAATAATTTCGCTTTTACCGGAGATTCCGCGATCAATTCGAGTTACATTTACAGTAGATTCGTGATTTTTAAACAGACTATTGAATTGTGCGTTAAAAAGAATAATTGTGTTGCGCCAAGCACGTGAGACTCCACACGTTGAAAAGAAGCATGGTTCAGTGCTCGATCTCGGGAAAAGAGGAATTTAAGCGAGAAGACTTACACTTTTATTTGTGATTTAATTTAAAAACACTTTAAAAGTTTATAAACATTAAAGAATAAAATGGAAATTGAAGGCAACTATGAATAGATTTATAATGAGTAAGAGATTGTGTGAATGTAATTGTGTTTGTGATATAGAGCTGGTTAGATATTATTATGCGTGATGTAATTTTAATTTTTGCTTAGGTTTACATAGATCTTTAAATTTGATGTGCCAAATGGTAGCGCTGAAGCAGTAGTGTGGCCAGTTTAGTAGCTTCGGCTAGTAGATGCGGCAAGAGCATGAACTTCCTGACTACTTAATAATCTATGCCCTGTGGTAGGTAAAACGAAAGAAGGGCGCCGCACGGAGGCAACAAACGGCCGCGGAAGATCAGCGGAGGCGGAAGGAGGACAAGCAAGGCGGCGGTGCGGGTAGCGAGTCCAGCAACGAGAGCGAAGCAGGCTCCAGCGACACTAGCGAACAGTTGAGCTCTATTCAGCCTGCATCGAGGGTTCGACACACTACGGCCAATTCCAACAATTCCTCGGGAAACGGTTAGTTGACGTAGCTTCTTGTAAATGGACTTCCCGTCAGGTGAACTAACTATTCACTTGCAGGGTAAGTGATCCGTGTTCCATGATCGTACAATTATTCCTGTCTAGAGATGTACGAGAACTCGAGAGAATCAAGAGTGATTGCACAAGCAAATTGAATTACACTTCATTTGCAGAATTTCATTTCTGGCCGAAAAAGAAAGATTTTTTAAAGAAATTTTTGGATCTTTGATGCTTTTTTCGAGTTCGCTTACCTTCTTTCAAATTTCATTAATTCGATCTCACGCACTTACCCTGTTCCCTGATTATATCATTACACTCAGATGCACATACATTATATTTTTAAGATATTATTTAAGATATTATATACATGATGACAATATAAAATATTGATAATATTATGATATTATTACCACGAGCTTTTTAACACTGAATGACTCTAATAATAAAATTGCGCATAAAAATTAGGATGATAACAGACTTTCTGACGAAGCGAGATGCATGATTTGTTAATATGCAGGAAATAACAAGGAACCTAGGAAACGTGGTAGGAGACCAAAGAGTACGAAAAACAATGACATGGGAGGCGAGGACCAACAACCCCGTCAGAAGAAGGAACGCAGGGATGACAGTACAAGCGGTGGTAACAACGGTCCGGGCGGAAGCGGTGGGCAGTCCTTTCGTAAACCGACGATATCGCAACTGAAAAAATCTGGCGAGAGTTGGCTGCAGGACGGCGCCTGTTTCGAGGTGGCTACGAAATTGGCCAAGTGCCGCGAGTGCCGATGGACACCGAACCAGCGCTCCAAGAACTCTCAGAATATCTTCTGCAGATTCTACGCATTTCGCAGACTGCGTTATACCAAAAACGGACAATTGGCCATAGCGGGATTCAGTGACCCACATAAAGACGCGTCCGAGGTAAATTACGAAGATCAACATGGTCAACACTTATACATTGTAATTAAATTACTATAAAACGAATGAAAATAAGATGAATAGTCTTATGCCTGTATCATATTACCGATTGGCGATTGCATCTACGTTCGTATTTGACTACGTTCTTTTGACTAATCGAAAAGATGTTCGCTAGCAGTTCTTTTAAGAAACTTAATCGCTAGTTGTTAGTGTGATACGGATATTTGCAGTTTTAATTCGAGATGCATGCTCTCAAAGGAGAACTATCGTTACAATGTTACAGGATGATCTTCGATTATGGTTACCAGGAGGAGATAACAACCAAAAGGCAACAGGAAAGAATGACAAATCCGAGAAGAACGAGAAGGACAAAGGAGATCGAGAGGACTTAGACTTAGAAACGGCTCATCGGCTGCTTTGGCAAGTTGGCGATCAATTCTGTGATCTTTTACATCAAGAGAAGAATGCCCTTCAAGAACATATGGCTGAAGGTAACATTTTGTTCTTTTTACAACATATTTTTCGGAATTTACCCCTCCTCCTCCCAATTTTCGTATCAATCAACTCGTACATGTTATACATATAATTAAAATACATCATTAAAGCAAATATGTAAAGCATGTGTAATAACTTTTATTAAAATTAATATTATTATCATTATTAAATTATTTTTAGTACATCTGATTTTATATACATTATTTACATGATTCTGATTTTTTTTTTTGTATATAATAATTCAATATGCCATTTTGCAAAACTATAACTTTAAATATCAGGCTGCATGATGGTTTGCATAATTTCTTTTGTTCGCATGTTTTAACGCTTTGCGCATCGATTATGATTACCTTTTGACAGCGAGTTCGGGGGTTGTAGACGGAACAGTAGCGTGGAAACGAGTAATCCTGGGTGTCCGAGAAATGTGCGACGTGTGCGAGACTACCTTGTTCAATGTCCATTGGGCCTGTGGCAAATGCGGCTTTGTCGTTTGCATTGATTGTTACAAGGTGAGATTGCGTTATATATATATATATATGTATATATTTATATATAACTGGATATATATGTGTATGTGTATATATATATATACACAGTTAAATGCTAGGAATATATGATGACAATTAAAATTCAATTGATATCAAATGATATATACAATAATTTATCGAGCTTTTTAACACTGATATTAATATAATAGTTATAATTTCTGTCTCTTTTAAAGAACATTTATTGATAGAAATATATTAATATATAGGGACGTAAAAATGGAACAGTTAAAATCTGGGGCGAGAGTGGAAAAGACAGGGACGATTTTTCATGGCTTCTATGCACGAATAGGCAAGTGCACGAACCGGAACGACTTATGCTTACGCAAATCATCGCCGGCGACAGTCTTCTGCGACTGGGTCAACGTCTACACGAATGCCGTGCAGAATGGGGAATTCCGCAACATTGTGCTTGCTCCCTCGTAACTTCGACGCAACCAAACGAGATTCTTCGAAATCTGATCAAAGGTGATTCTGTGCCTGTTCTTAATGGAAACGTGAAACAGGAGATAAAAGAAGAGAAGAAGATAAATGAATCTAACGGTGCATCGGAGAGCAAAACCAACGGCGAGGACAAAAACTCACCGCTGAACTGGTTGGCCGATGTAGCACTGCAGAATCAGGACAAAAACGATAGCGGCTCAGACTCGGACTCGGACGATGATCGCGAGGGTAATTACTCGACATTGCGGGAGTTGCTCATAAGGCCGTCGCACAAGTCAAACGGGAGCGGCGGATCCAGATCGAATTCACCTACGAACAATTCAAGTGGTGTGAATAACACCCCGCAGAATAACGTCGCTAAGTCTGGCAAAAAGTCGAAAATGGATACGCTTGATGAAGTAATATCTAGTGTGATCGAACACAGTGTGAAAAAGGAAAAAGACAATGGTCTTGATGACGAAAAGCCACGGGAATTGAAACATTTCGTACGACGTTACAAGTGGACACAGCGCGGTCGTGAGCCGTTACCAATCAGAATTATGACGGGTACAGAGAGCCGGAGTCTTTATCCAGACGTGCCACACTCTTGGCTCTGCGACGGCAAGTTGCTGAGGTTAAGTGACCCGAATAATCCAAACAACTACAGAATATTTCAGGATCAGTGGAAGCGAGGACAGCCGGTAATTGTGTCGGACGTCGCCAAGGCGCTGGACATGAAGCTCTGGCATCCTGATTCATTCGCTCGTGACTTCGGCGAAGAGAAGAACGATCTCGTTAACTGTATGACAGGCAATCTAGTACCGAATCAACCAATGCGCAAATTCTGGGAAGGATTTGAGTACTATTCCAAGCGGCTTAAGGACGAGCGAGGAAATCCTATGCTATTAAAATTGAAGGACTGGCCGCCCGGTGATGATTTCGCCGAATTATTACCATCGAGATTCACGGATCTGATGAAGGTTCTTCCATTGTCCGAGTACACGCATAGAAACGGCAGGCTAAATTTGGCGAGTCGTCTACCTAATTGCTTCGTGAGACCGGATCTGGGTCCAAAGATGTATAACGCTTACGGTTCCGCTCTTCATTCCAACAAAGGCACGACTAATCTTCATCTTGATATCTCGGATGCCGTGAACGTTATGGTATACGTAGGAATGCCAAAGGATGTTAATGACGAAGAAAGTCTCAAAGGTACGTATTCATATCTGATCTTTACGCATAGCCAAGCATCCATTTACGTCGCTAATATTCTTGTCGAAGTAATAATTGAGTCTTTGAAAATTAATGATCGAAACATTTACAGCTAGGACAGAGGCGTTGAGAGCGATAGACGAAGCAGGCTGTGATATTCTGACGCGTCGACGTGCTCGCGAAGAGAAGGAGAATGTGCCTGGTGCTCTGTGGCATATTTACGCAGCGCGTGACGCAGACAAAATTCGAGATCTTCTGAATGCCGTTGCCTTAGAACGCGGAGCTCGTTTGGAACCTCATCACGATCCTATACACGATCAAAGTTGCTATTTAGATGGGCCATTGCGGGAGCGATTGTATCGAGAATATGGTGTTGAAGGGTAAGTTTACTTAAAAAGTTATTACTTTTTACATAACAAAGTACATGCGCTTAAAATATATAATTTTCCAAAGAATTTGTTGGAAAAGAGGACATCGATTGTAGTAATTTTATTAAAATAATGTCTTATTGCAGGTACGCTATCGTCCAATGTCTAGGCGATGCAGTATTCGTGCCAGCTGGCGCGCCACATCAGGTCCGTAATCTCCAAAATTGTATAAAGGTGGCCGAGGACTTTGTGTCGCCGGAGAACGTTTCGCATTGCTTCCACCTGACCCAGGAATTCCGTGCACTATCCGATACCCATACGAATCACGAGGATAAGCTTCAAATCAAGAATATTATTTATCATGCCGTGAAAGACTCTCTGACCGTTTTAGCCAATGTTAAGGAGAATACTCTCGCTAAACTCGCCAAGACTAATAATGAAACGAAAACAAAGGAGGAGACTTAGCCTTAGGTCTTCCCTATATGGTCATAAGACCGATTGATAATCCCCTTGATTGGATCTCGTTGTTCGTACGAGATTGATCGCAGTCAGCGCTTCCGGATACAGCGAAGTTGGCACACCCGGAAGAATCTGCAGAAGAAGACCGCCCTTGCTGCAAAAAGATCGTTGCGGAGGTGCGAGAATTTGTTGTGATATTTGTGAAGATTTAATGATTTTAATCGGAGGATTTGATTTGCGATATTGGCTGAGCCAATGAACATTAGTTATATATTGTTTCATTCGAATTCTCTTATATACAATTCTTTTTTGTTCTCCCATTTTCCGCGAGAAAAGGTGCCCGCGGACATGAAGTCCGATGAGCTGCTCTATTACGAGTGAAAACAAAATCCGTATCTCGGATCGCGCATAGATAAAACGCCGCGTCCATTACTATTGTGATATAAGAAGGACTTTGGATCGTATACATTTATTTGTAATTAATTATATTGTGCCTGTATCCAAACATACACTCATTCACACATATACACATACACTCACACACACGCACACACACACACACACACACACTTGTCTATATTATATAAATGTAGATAATTGAAATATTGTGTAATAATTTTTGCTAGCAACTACCAGAGAGAAAAAGGGAGAGAAAGGGGGGTTCGTCTAGAAGTACCTTTGTGCAATTAGGTGTGACTTATAAATTATTACAGCTGGATCACGGGGGATAACTGCGGATCCATTTAATCGTCTGCTCTGAGATCTGGTGCTTTTCGGTATTTGATCAAAACCCCGGCTAGAGATAGCCGATACGTATTCGCGTTCATGTCTTCTATGTTTCACGCAATAAGGGCGTAAAAAATAAAAAACACTGCCTAACTAATCGGTTCGACGACAATGGAAGAAACAGACCTTTCTCGCATTTCTCTTTTTGTTTAAGTAAACATTTTGTAGAACAACGTTCACAGAACAACATTCTTGTAGAGATGCATTGTGTTTTTATCGCGACGTATGTATCGGTTATATGAGCAACGGGGTGAACTGCAAGTTTTGTATGTCACTTCGAGTATAAGGCATCAGAACTAAAAAAACAAAAAAATAAGAGAAATATACAATTTGTCCGATATTAACTTTTCAAGATGTAACGGCGAATGTGAACCACTGTTGAATTGAACGTTTCATTGTTGTCGTAACCCAATGACTACCCGGCGTGTAACGGACGGGAAAGTACTAATAAATGAATATGTTATTTTTGTCAAAACGTATACAAACCGTCTATGTCGGACGATAAAACGAAAAGACAGCGATAATGTAATTGTAACGAGATGCTGAGACGCTAAATAAAAATAAAATTATTTGCAGTAACATTTAAAGGAAAAAAAAAGGATGACTTTTTCGAAGTGCCAATGTTGAACCACGTCGGACGTTAAGTATGCGCGCGTTGTATTGTATTCGTGTATGCGTAAGTAAAAAAAGAGAAAGAAAAGAACGAAGAAAAGAGAATTAATTAGTCACGCAGAATTCACAGAGATGACAGGACCGAGTTCCTATCATTTTGTGACAGTTCGTGCGAACGACAATATTCCGCGCTAATCGGACTGTCACTGACGATTCGAAAACTGCTGTCGCTTCCGTTTCTTTTTCTCCTTTCCGCTGAAATTCTGATAGACGTTGCATAAGCATAAATATGTATATGAAAAAAACGACGAAACTTTCCGAGATCAATGTTCACACTTATAACTTGCGACATTGCAAGATACAGCAGCTCTCGAATCGAACATAACGTCGTTACGCACCATTTTTGCGCCGATTGTCAGATAATAATCATCGACGAATAATCTTAACACAGTGTAAAGAAAAGAAAGAGCGAACGGAAGAGAAGAAAAAGAACAAAAAAAAAAAGATCACTGGCATCCTGGAATCCGCAATTTCTTTGATCTCAACATTCGTCTAGCATACAACGACTTGATTAATATTTAACGAGTAAATTTTTAAAATATCTTAGTGTTGATAGATAACGATTGTGGGAATTATATAAGCTACAAACAAGCAAAAAGTACTAACTCCACAACGGCGGTGTTGTATAAAGTTTTAGGAAGACGTATTTCTGTGTATTATTGCTGCAAAACGAGACGCTATTGTTTGTCCTCTTGCTACGTGTATATGTACATACATTTATATACATCCGTATATGTATACAGATATAAATACGAAGACGGGATGAGTGTCTAGGACTCGTAATGATAGGAAGATACGCAAACCTTTACGAAACACGAGAAGATACACCTTACACGCGTAGGTAGATAGTTTATTATACCATTATTATAATTATTATATATTATCATTATTACGTTTAATTATTACGGAAAATACGATATTTAAATGTTGCTGAATATGAGAACGACAAACGTGAACGCGCGCGAGTGTAAATGATTTAAAAGAGGGGAAAAAAAGAAAGAAAGAATATCGGAACAGTAACGCAGAGTAGACAAATGAGAAAGTGAGCGAAAAAGATAAAGTGTGGATGAATGGAAGAGAGAATAAAGGGTATAATTGATTGTGTGTGCGTATGCGTGATGGCGATCCAGTGAAAATGCGACAGAATGAAAGAACGAGGGGCCGTGTATTGGGGGCGGAGTGGAATGGACGGTATCTAAAATGATGTACAGACCTTCGACCTTCCGCAAGATGTGTGTATATCCAACCCCCAAGAGAAAAAAAAAAAGAAATTGTGTGCTATATCCACCCCCTTTCCTCCCCCTGCGTCCCCTCCTGTAACCACCGGCCGCCCCCAGTCATAGCAGTTATGAACCGCGGGCCGGCAGGTCTGAGTATAATTTTTTGTACTGTGTAAATGTAAGAACCATACGTTTGAATAAGAAAAAAAATGTTTATATTACGAAACACTGGCGTTTGGATCATTGCGTCTATCACTACCCTCAGTCACGAAACGAATGGAAAAGTCGTTTTATAGACGGTTTTTTCATAGAAGTGTAGGTGAATTTAGCGATTCTTTAAAATTTTAATTAAACTGCCTCCGGCAATTGAACCTGGAAATCAAAATTCCAAAATTTAGAGAGATTTTTAAGATTAAGAGTTAAGGAAGGAAGAGTTTATGTTAAGGAATCTGAAGTCTTCACTCGGAATTGATAAAATAGAAATTTATCTGTTTATTCTCAAAGTTTTAATTCGTTTACATTTTTAAGCCATTTGATTACGATAATAATTGCTTTTGACATTTTGAAATAATTTTGGGTTTTCCCATTTAGCAAAAATACGTATTATGTTTTTCATGTAGGTACTGATTGTCAAGTAAGCATAATTGCTTTTTTCTTGTCAGAGAGAGAACAGTCATTCATTTTAGTATAATTATCAGTATTACGATATACTTATTTTGAACAGAAAGGGAATTCAATTTTAGTTTTACATTACTATGACATTGTATTATATTATAATCGAGTAAATATCTTGATATCTGAGAACTGAAATTTTTT